GGCTTTGTTATAGGCACCTGTCGCTTGGGTGGCAATGCACATAATTGCTCTGGGAGGGGGAAGTGCTGCATCAGGTGTGCTGGCAATGAGGCCTTGCTCTTTCCAGTTGTCCCACAGTGTTTCTGCCTTTCTTTTGGTTTGCTTCTCTTTTCCTTCTGGTGCTTTTCTAGCCATTTCTCCTAAAACCCATTCTTTAAGTTGTTATAAAACTTTCCCCTTTAATTCAAATGTATTATTGCTATAAAGACAGCTATTTTTGTTAGTGAAATGCAAGTGACTCAGCCCTGTCCTGATATCATTTGTGTAATGCAGATAAAGCAATATTTTTGTGAAACCCCTGTGAATGATAACTGTAAATCTACACTTCAATAATATATTCACTGGTTCATTTCAAATCTGTTGTGGTGATGTACACAAGCAAAATTACACAAATTGTGTCCTTGACCAAATACTTATGCAGCAGACTGTATATGTGGTATCTTCTATATTAGGCTATATACTACAGCACATAAAGTTTGTTAGTATAATGACATTTAACTGAGTTTAGCTTCAGTAAGTATATAAAAAGTCAAGGTACATAAAGTCAGTGTATAGTGTGGATTAGGTGCAGGCTGTTGTCTTGTTCAATCAACTTTGGAAGCACTGACCCTGAAAGTGCAGACACCATACGGTCATGATACAGCAAAACAGACAGGACTCTCAACTTCAACCCTGATAAACCAGTTACTGTCCCCCAATTTTGTAACTGCAGAGCTTGCATGTCTGTTTGTTTGATAGGCAAACATGAAGGCTTGCTACAGTAGAAAACAGCATGCTAACATTCAGGGTTAACAGTCATCTTAGGTGGCATTGTATCCTGTTAGAGAGGGGTGGGTAGCTGTAGCACAGAAATAATTGGTCGGTGATGTCAATATAAAACAGTTCTGACAGAGACAAAGATGCATCAGAACCATCATGAAGACTTTGTGTGTTGCTGTTGTTGTGCTGAGTCTCACCTCGATGTGCCAGGCTGCGTCGCTGGCCTGTAACGAGTTGCTGAAGCCGGTGGACACAGCTCCAGATGTAAGTGCCTTTCCACAGTTATATAATTGATGTATTTTTGTAGCTGCTTTTTTTTGACAAAACTAAGTTGATTGTGCTGAATCTATTTGTGGTACAATTCATTTCGCTTAAGTGCACTGTGGGGGAAACAATTGACATGAAAAGGTTTCAGATTATTGCCCAACATTTACAAAATCAAAAGACACAAATAAAGAAAATAACCTCCTTTTGTCATTTTAGCTGACCGGGAGATGGTACGTCATAGCAGTATCCTCAGACACCTGCTTGGTTCCAGCAGCAGTGAATGCTTTCCTCTGGCCAAGTTTTGCATATGACGCCTCCTCTGCACAGACACCAAATATCTATAAGGTCACCGCTAAGATTAAAATGTAAGAAGTGTCTTTATTTGTAACTTGTTGGTATGAATCATTTAAAGTAAACAGGATCAGACAATCAGAATATTTGTGCATTATACAAGATCAAGTCCTGTCCAGTGGTTCTTTCACTTTTTAAGACCTGTTTTTTAATCCTTGGCAGGTATGGATACTGCGCTAATGAATCTGAATCATTTTTCTATGACAAAAGCCATTTCTTTGATCTCGACAAGAACAGTAAGAATTTTGATTAATACACTGGGTGCACTGGTATTTAATAGTTTGTCTCTTTGTCTCTGCTTCTTTTAATCACTATCAGACTTTTACACTGTAGACTACTGATTCTCTAAAATCATTCACTTCCTTGTTCTCTCTCAGTCTGTATCATCACTACCCACAAAACAGGATTTGAGACTAATTTAGAGGATATAAAGAGGTCAAAAAATCAGAAAAGAGATTTGAAACAATGTGCAGATAAGACACACATTTAAGTCACTTCTTGTAGCCTGTTGCAATCATTTGTTCTCTAACGTAAATTTTATTCATTTTTTACTGCTTAGTCCCTGAACGGGGTCACGGGGGGGGCCGGAGCCAATCCCGGCCAGCAATCGGGCGAGGTCGGGGTACACCCTGGACAGATCGCCATTCCATCGCAGGGCGAACACACAAGGCTGACACAGAAGTGGTCTTCCGCTTCCGTAAATTTTAATCATTTAATAATTTGTATTTTTAACATTTTGATACACATTGAGTATTAATGTAATAATGATTTTATTGTAAACCTCTTAATGTGTCTTATTTTCCAGACGCTCCAACTGGTGAGCCAGATGTGCTGCTGACCACTGGGTGCCCTGACTGCCTCATTTTACAGACGAAGGACATCGATGACGAAGTTATCTACCTCAGTAAGGACAACAGAGGGATAAACTAACAAAATATTTGATAATATCTCCAGTAATGGTGTAATACTGCTTATCTTAATATGTCACTGATACTCACTGCAGGACGGCCATGCACTTGTGTCAGGTATTAACTGTTAGGTGTAACCTCTAGAAATGTTTAAACTAATAATGATATCAGCATCATTATAGTAGGTTTTCATGGTCAAGCAATCATATTATGAGGGTCAAAATAAGCTTTTAGGTGTAATGGCGTTATGGGGAAACGGAGTTGCCCTTGGCGCAGATTTGCACTCTCTGAGTGTTGTCTAGTTTGATTCTAAAAATGGTCATCGGTACTGATCATAACAAAAACATGACAAATTAAAAATATGACCTCTACATGGCAATATATAAGAAGTTCAGGTTCATAAAGTTATTACAATTAATGCTGATGGGAAGACAAATGACTATACAAAATATAACAGCAGTTCATCTAAGACAGAATTCAGTGTGGACCAAATTGAACGACTGACAGCCCAACACTGTCATCCATATAGTTAAGAGTAAATTGTTATATATTGTACATATTGCAAGACAGAATATCATTACAAGGTTGTCATCTCACCTGTTTAACAGGTAAGAGACAGGCTGTCACCACTACCGAGCTGGCGGAGTTTGGGGCACAGGCACAATGTCTTGGCTGGTACAAACCACAGGTCTTTAACTCAGATCATGGTAAGACAAATAAAATACATGTATTGCTCATGTGGAATAAGATGCCTTTACAGCTGCTATATGAAAACAAGAGGAGTATAGTGGCACTGGACTTTACCATGATAGTGATTTCTACCATTTTATTTCATGGTATTGTACCGTAGTACACAATACATACCCTGGGAACATTTATGATGGAGTTGTTACTAATTGACATGAATGTATTTTTGTATTGTCACTATGTTATTAGTTTTAATTTTTCCTGTTTTCTCCCTACACAGACTATACAAACTGCAAGAGCTTTGATGACGTTGATGTTGATGATGATCATTCAGCAACATCGGAGCTGATTTATCAAAGGTGGAAAACCTCGTATAAGATTCCCTTTGAGTGTTTTTGTGAGAAAGGATTGTCTTCTGTCGCTTCTGTTCTTGAGTGGATTGAGAATGCGTGGAACAGCCTTTAGTGAATGTGCTAGGGGACATCACCATTGATGTGCATGTGAGGTGGCGCAAACCCACCTTAGGATGTAATAATCTGAAGAAAATGTCTGATTTACCGTTTTAAAAGTATAGACTTAATTATAATATAATTATAAATAATTATACTAAAATCAGCTGATCTCAAATGTACTCTTGAACATTTGAATACAATTCATATAAATCAGTAATTAAATATAACCTCTAAATGAATGTGACTTTTTTCAGTGAATGTTTAAACAAACTGAATAAAGTTTAAACTGATCACTATTGCACTTCTCCGTGACTGGAAATACAAAAAGTCAAGCAAACACTTGCATAGAGGGCAACTTTAATGTTAAGACCAACATGTTTTGGCTTGTAGTCTTCCTCAGGGTCTGTTAAAAGCACTTAACAGGATCATGTAAGTATAGATATAGAAAAAATATTAAAAACAACCAATCACATACAAACACATGCATGTCAGCCAATATAAAACATGCACATAAGTGGCTTGGGTATATGGTCATGTGGTTATAGGCCAGTCATATTCTCAAACTGGTAAAGAGGCAAAAGGTGTGTCTATTGACTGACTCAAGTGACACCACACTTAATAAACACGCAGGAAAATGCACATTTTGGGTGGAGTCACACCTCACCTAGTAGGTTGTCAACAATTTAGAGGTGTTTATGCTCAGACCAATTCACAAAACATCACACGCTTCCCCAGTGGACAAAAAACAAATGACAATAAAAAAAATATACAGGGCAAAACTGGAACCACAACACAATACATGAAATAAAAAGAAGAGAGCAAAAATATACATTTAAAATACAATAAAATATAATATAGTGCAGACAGGGAAAACAATGGGGTCCCCAGTATAAAAACACATTAACTGAGAAATCCTTGTTCGTGCCTCCTGGAAACAAACTCTTAAAATCAAAAATCCAAAAAGCCTCCCTCTCTTCCCAAAAGGACTAATGTTACCACCTCGTACTCTAGGCATGATCACCTCTATGTCTGGGTAGAATAATGACAACATGGTTTGTTTTAACTCATTAAAATGTCTTGCAACTGGGTTAGTAACATCATTTCCCTTAACAGCGCTCTGGTGTTCCATGATACACTCTTTAAGTGAACAAGATGTCTACCCTGTATATACTTTTACACATGGTCATTTGTACTCACTGAGTTTACATTTGCTCCATTAGCTAGCTAACGCTGGTCAAATCTGCCAACAGTTGTCATTTCAGTCAACAGGACTGGTGGATGTTGGCTAAAAAGAGAAATGTGTGTCTTCAATCTGAAATCATGGACCTGCTGTTTCCAAAATTGCTAAGAATTTTGAAAGCCATATCTGCCTCATTATTGTAAACTGCATATGTGCTGAGCCTTCATGGAAGGGTCAGCAGGTTTGGTAACTGTGACCAAGGTTTAGAGGCTTAGCAAACAGTCAGTTTTGAAGCTACTGATCAACTCAGCGATAGATTAACCACCTGTAACTCATACTGGGAGAAGAATTAAATCACTGTACGTACAATCAAATAAGATGAGCAACTGAGAGTATGACAGAAGGAAGACAAAGCAGATTCTGAGAACGATTTATCAAACTTGTGTGTGTGTGAGCTGTAAACCAAGCTAACTTTCCCTGAAAGCCACTTAAAGAAATTCTTATTGATTTGTTAAAACAGATGAAGTTGTTTGATAGAAACCTTCACTGACTTCTGGAGGTCCCTTAGCTCCAGTTTGGGAACTGTGTTTACATATCAGTGGTAAGCAAAGCCAACATGAAGATTTAAAGAACATTCAGGATAAACATGTGGTTTACGTTGCATCCACTCACATAGGGGTTGTTTGAAATGAAATAAAAGTAAGTGCTGAGTGATGTCTTTATAAGAGACAAGAGAGACTAAAAGGCGTCAGAGCCATCATGAAGAATTTGTGTGTTGCTGTTGTTGTGCTGAGTCTCACCTCAGTGTGCCAGGCTGCGTCGCTGGCCTGTGAACAGCTGCTGAAGCCAGAGGACAAAGGTCAAGGTGCAAGTCTCTTCCCACATTTATAACTAATATTGTAGTTCTTTAACTTTTTGATTAGACAAAACTAAATTGAACCTACCGAATCGACTCTATTTTGTTTACTGGGCCCAAAGTGTTCAAAAATAAATGTATAAATAAGATACTAGCAAATAATTCTTTGAATTAATACTGATGAATATAAAATATGATCATGAAACTATATATAATATTCAGACACATTTTTAAAATTCAGCTCATTATTTTCATCCTGCTTGTTTTCACAAAAACATTTTATTTCAGATCTTATGTAATTCTAGCAAATATTACATCAACATGAAATTTTAACTAGTGTCCAATTTATTTCAGCAGACTGACATTAACCACTGCAAACATAGCAGAGTCAGTTATCTGATTGGCTGCTCATTTGGTATTGATTAGTATCTTATTTACTATTTACTGAATTTGGAACACTTTGAACACTCCAAGTTTAATCTCTGTTGTTTTCACAGCTTGTTTCTACCGCCCCCAAGTGGCCAAATCAATTATTGAAAGTTTAGCAGGTCCAAATTTTCATCTAGTTGGTTTA